ATCGTCCACCAGCCCCACCCGCCGTTCCCATCACGCTGGAGTACCCATACGACCACGCCGACACTACTGTTACTGCCGTTCGCCTAGGTTACAACAAACGTGGTCGGCCGTCCGTCATGTTCCTAGTTCAGTGGTCTACCGCCAGTGGCCGTGACGCGTCCTGGGAACCGTACGATGACGTCCGCAGCCTACCAGCACTTCGTGCCTTCCTGGCGACCCCAGCCTGGACCTCGTTTAAGCTGTCAGACCGCTATGCCTGGTTCAGATACCAACTGAAAGGGAATGGACTCCGGTTCTGGTTGGGATGTCAAGATAGTTACACTGATGGACGAGCGACTTAAGCCTGCTAACAACCTACAAGATGCAATACGATGACGTAACAATCTAAACAACATCAACGACTTAAATAGTTATCCAGAGCCTAGGCGGCGCCGAAAGGTCGTACATTATCCCTAATCCAAATGCGTGTCCACGAGTAAAGTTAACGACTTAACGACTAACGAGAAAACCTAACAGTCTGAATAATTCAATAGCACCCGTTTCCTGGGGGAGAGCGCATGAGTAACATCTGAGTAACCAGAACAACCGACGAACCTACGGCGGGCAAACGAAAAGCGGGCCATACGCAACGTACCAGCTACCAGAAAAGTCAAAGCCTCTTAGGGCCCTTATGCGCAATAAAACTACACGGGTATCTTATTTCGCAAGAACCTGTATAAAAGCTGACAGACGGCTGGGGTTCGCTTCTACGGTGTGCTAGGCAGATGCACCAGGAATGCTTTTTCACAAAAAAGAATGGACTTGAGAGAACGTGTAAAGTTACCGTCCTTTTCACCATAGATACTCTTCCTTAAACAGCTGAGGCCGTCTTCCATGGCACTTGGATGGGTTCTATTGGCTTTGATGGTTCTCGGTGGCATACCGCTGAATTGGCTCTACGACGATCCACTACAGCTGTGTAGATCCCAGGGTGACATCAACACTCTGGGTGAGCTGGCGCTATGCATGCAGCGTTTCGTTGTACCGGAGGGCACCATCCCGCCCAGCCTATGGCGCGAGGAAACCGGCTACATTCCAAGCCTTCAACAGCGACACGACCTTGACAAGTTTATTCGCAATATGGCCAGCGCGTCCTCGGCTGCGGCATGCAAAAAGCTGCTGCTGCCGGCTTCCCTTAAGGTGCGAAATGTGCCGCAAGGTAACATATTTATGCAGCCTGCAATAACTACTTCGCGGAGCAGCTGCAATCTAAACGCTACTTATTCCGTCGCTGGAGTGGTGGTTTGCTTCTGGGATAAGGATCCTGAGATAAAGAGGTGCCCCTCCTCCTTCCCTGCCGTACTGGCAGGGGGGATTGTTCCGCCATGCCGCCGCCAGCCACATCACAAGCCGTGTTGCAGCTGCGTCGCAATGTACGGCAGCCAGTTGCACTAGGGTTTGGCGGTGATGTCAATTCCAGTGCTGATGGTTGGGTCGCCGATGGGTCACCGGTTGGCCTAGTCCCTCCTCCTGCGCTCTCCTCTCTCCCCCACCCCCAAGTTCAGTGCGTAGTACGCCTCTCTCAGGGGTCGCTCTTCCAGCTCCTGCTGAATGTACAATTTCCAAACCCAACCCTCTGCCCGGCCCGCCAGCAGCTTCCTCTTGCCCCAATGAAAACTTCAACCGCCACCATTCCACAAAATCTTACAACCTTCTTGCTTTGCTGTACGACATGTCGTACGGCTGCTGTATCCTGTCCTGTCTTTTGCCCCTTTGCCCTGGCTTTGTCGTTACCAGCGAGTGTATCGACCGCCCCGGGTATTCCGCGACGCTGAGGTGCGTGAGAGCGTGTGCCTGTTGCTGGAGCGCACCCGCGGTGGCCGGTTTGTAGCGGGATGGGCATGGCTGGCGGTGAGGCCTGAGCCCGCAGCGGTGGGGCAGTTGGCGAAGTCGGAGGAGGAGGAGGAGGAGGAGGAGGAGGGACATGAGCTGGCGTCGATCGGTGCTGCGAAGGCTGCAACACGTGCAGGAGCTTTAGCAACAGCCGCCCCTGGCGTTATGGACGACACGCAGCCGTCAGGGACAGAGCAGCAGCGGCGACGGCGAGGGCGACAACAGCAGCAGCAGCAGCTGCGCTGGGTCAAGGCCTGGGTTGGGGTCTGGTACCGGGTCGTGGATTGGTGGTTTCGGAGCTCCTGGGTCACGGCCCTGTGGGGGTTTGGCAACGCGGGGGTTGAGGTGGGCATGGAGACGCAAGCAGCAGAGGATGAGGAGGCAGTAGCGGTGGTTGCGGCTGTAGGTGGCGGCGGGTTTCGGGGCGGCTGGTCACCGAGGGGCGGGCGGCCTTTGCGGCGGCTGCACCTTGGAGCGCCTCACCCCAGCTTTGAGGGACCCGTGGACCTGCAGGTGCTGCGGGGGAGAGGCCGCTGCGGGGGAGAGCTTAATTTAGAACCACCAACACGTCACCTCAGGGCTCCGTGTATCGGCTGTCACGTTCTCATATCCTCCATCTCTCTCCGCCTCCAACCCGCGGACGGCCCCCGCGTTCACCCATGTTATGATTATTTAATTTTATTCATCGATGCGGCCGTGCCCTTGCCGCGGGCTGTGAAAATGTACGTCTGCTGCTGCTGCTGCTGCTGCTGCTGCTGGTGGACCAGCTGAAAGGTCAGCTGCTGCTGCTATGGCCACAGTCTGACAGTCACTGATGAAAAAACGTTCACACAATCCGTTCACACATTATGTCTCGCTTCGACCTCCCCTGCCCTCGACCTGCTCCAGGCGGTGGCGCTGTTCCGAGGGCTGCCCTCCCTCGCTCGGAGTGTGGTGGTGTCCGGGAAGCACCGCCGGGCGACAGCCGCAGACAGCGCCTGCCTGCCGGGATTTGGCTACCCAGCCAGCGATCCGAGCCACAACGACCGGGATGCCTTCAACATCATCTCGTTTGCGCTGCTTCAAGTGGAAAAGGAGGAGCTGGGTGCAGGCTGTAGCGCAGGTGGCCGCGGCGATGGTGCCAACAGCAGCGACATCGCTGACAACAACAGTGGCAGCGGTAGAGGTCACGGCGGCGATGGCGATGATTATGGTGGTGGTGATGGTGATGGTGGTGGTGATGGTGGTGGTGATGGTGGTGGTGGTGGTGGTGGTGGTGTTAGGGGGGCAACCGTTGGGGGCCAAGCCGTGTTTCTGCAGCTCCACGGCAAGAAGGAGGAGAGCTGTCCTGTCAGCACTGTCTTCGCCTCCGGCGGGTTCGGAAGTAATGCTACAGCCTTCTACAGCCGCAAGGACACGGCAGTAGCGGCCCTGGTGGCGGCGCTGGAAGAGGTCACCGGAGCAGCAGCAGCAGCAGCGGCGGCGCCTCCGCCCCCGCCAGCAGGCACCAGTAGCAGCAGTGGCGGCTGGACGGTGAGCCTGCCGCCAGATGACCCGGCGTGTGCTCTAACAGCTACTCGCAATGTGTTCGGCAGGGGTGTCAACGGCGTACCACGGCGGGATGTGTGCACCAGGCCGGCGGATGCTGGCGGCGGGAGCGGCGGCAGAAGCTGCTTCGGGTCGTTTGTGCACGTAGAGCAGGCAGAGGCGGCACGGGCGCCTGCGGTGTGGGCTCTGTGGGTCGAGGCGCTACAGATGCTGCAGAGCTGGGCTAGGGTTGGTGATCTGTAAACCATGTATGTATGTATTATGTATATTGCAAAAACATATGCACGTGCATGTGCATGTGCATGTGCATGTGCATCTTACGGCTCAAGGCCCAGTCCAGAAAGGGTTCGTAGTGCTGCAGTTCGGTCATTCGACTAAAGGCGCTACTTAAGAGAGAGTGTGTCTGAGTGTCGCGGAGGAGTGTTCCGTTTGAGGTCCAATTATTTAAATAAAAAAGTGTGATTTTTTGAGTTGGGTAGATTGTTGCTGCATGTCTCTCTCTCTATATATATATATATATACGTAGATCGTAACTGGTTCAGTAAGCTAGAAGTGATAGAATATGAAGAAAAAAAAGAAATCAGTGAGCGCCGATAGCCGAAATAGAACCAGTAACAAAATTAATAAAATCCACTATGGAAAATATGATTATCATCTTTTGAAATTTCCGGAAGTTGTTGAGTTTTATTTAGCCGATCTTGGAAATGTTGACGATAGGTTTTAACGTTTTTCTTTAAGTAACTCCAATCAAAATGGTATTAGCACCAAGCAATTTTCATATACTTCTCCTGTTGGCAACAAATTAGGATGGGGTTATAGGGCGACTCATTAATTAAAAATTATGAGTTATGCACTAATACTAAATATGAAAGAAACTATAGTTTTTATAAACCAACAATTCTACAATCAATTACTAAAAAATTCCGCTTTAATTCCTGCTTTTTTCAAGCACGAATCTAACTGATGGCGTGCAAACTTCCATGCGCCCATGTTCCGTGGTTCTTCCGGACACCAGACAAATTTTGAAGCGGCCTGATATTTTTTCATAGTTTTTACGACATCTTCTTCTATAAATGGAAATAATTGCTCAAAGCGAATGATAACAATATTATCTATTTTTCTTTCCCGCCTTAATTCAAGTAAATCATAGTAAACTTTATATACGTATATATATACTTTATATACGTATATATATATATATATATATGTTGTTGCAACAAATACAAATAGTTAAAATAGCTCCCAACTTACGCGGCGATTTTACCAACTATTCCCTCAAGATAAGCTTTTTACTTGCCAAAACAACACAAAAAGAGGTATTTTAATAGTTTTTTGCCTGGAAAACATGAAAGTATATCGTTTAGAGGTACATTTTTAATTCTGATTCCCGGGATACTTAAAAATATAAAAAACTAATTGAAAAAGCTGCCATCAAGGATGAATGTGGGTCAAATTTTAGAAACAGCTTTTGTAAGCAATATTAATATAATCTTCAACGAAGATGTAAATTTGTCTAAAAACGGCGCAAGTGACACAACTTCAGATTTTGACCTCTCTTCAGAGTACATGAATTATGTGGCTGATAATTATGCTTTTTCAGGACTTAAAGGGTCATACGAAGAATTACTTTTAATGTTATTCTCCCGGGCTGCATCTTCCACGTATATGTAGCAACATGTACAACCGATGCACCGTCCATATGGCATCCGTATGCATATTTGCCTCGGGATGGAACGGTGCTTGCTGGTAAGAGGCATGGCAACGCCAGCAGCGCGCGAGCTATGAACCCGTGCCCACCTTCCGCCTTTTGGCACGGTCGGGGAGACCAAATATGTGGAGTATGTTCCGCTTAGGTGGGACGCACTTCCGCTGCACACTGACAAACGTACTAACGACGATTTTCAAGAATGGAAATTGTGTTCCCTGGTTCGGCCCTAAACTTTGTAAGGACAATAAGGTAGTACTAAGGTAATCGAGCTTGACTCGCAAGCACCAAACGCACGTACACAAGCAAGCAGTGGGATAAACCACTGAAATATTTTCCCGTTCCAAGAACTACACAATGATTATGCCCAAAGCATAAGAGGAAGCTGAGCATGCAATGAGTACCAATGAGTATATATTCGGAACCAAACGCAAGCGTGCTAGGCTCGTAAGGGAGCACGGACCTAGGCTGGATACCGGATGATCACCCGCACGTGGGACAGGCCGACATTCAAGGACAACTGAATCAGCCAAGCTCGGACATCGACGCGTAGGGGCTTTTGTTATGAGAACAAGGCCATGTGCAAAAAATACTGGTCGTAAACGGGTGCTTGGTCCGGACGCTGGGCGCTCTGTGTGGGTGGGCTCGAAGGCATGGTAAGAGGCGACCACTGGGTCAGAACTCCGGATCTCGATGTGCTATCCTGCATACGGGCTTTTATTATCAGAACTAGGCCATGTGCCAGCAGCTGTTCCTTTGCAGATGTGGCAGAACAATATGTTGACGGCACACAATCGTCTTCCATAGAATTTTCATACCGTGCTTGTTAGAAATAAGAGTCCTTCAGTGAACACATCACTCACTCATATCGTTACACAAGGAGAGAGAGATATAATGAAGACGCAAGCAGTATATAAGCATACCGCAGCCAATCCTGATTCGATGTCGTATTGAGACAAAAGCAACTAACCAAACTACCGAAGTGTCAAGCCTGAGTGTACCTTAGAGCACTTTCCAACACTCCCACGCGCTCAGGACTTGCACACGTTCATAGCTACACGATGCTTCACAATTTTCTCAGACGGCAAAGGCTTCGTTAGGCAGTCAGCTACCATATCTTCCGACCTGCAATCTACCATCACAAGCGTACCGAGTGCTACCTGCTCCCGCACAAAATGATAACGCACAGAGATGTGCTTCGATTGCTTCGAAACAACCGGATTGCTCGCCAACCGAATTGCGCTCTGACTATCACAATTGATCTGCGTTGGCTTGAGGTTGTAGCCGAAATCGCCAAGTAATTGTCGCAACCACAAAGCCTCCTTAGCAGCCTCCGAAACAGCCATGTACTCAGCCTCCATAGTGGACGCAGCCACGATCCGCTGAAGTTTGCTAGCCCAGCTAACTGTACCACCATGAAGAGTAAAAACGTAACCAGACGTTGACCGCCGCGAGTCAGCACAACCCGCATAATCAGCATCACTATACCCAACTAACCTCTCGTCTGCTCGTTCACCGCCTAGGACTAATCCGTAATCAGACGTTCCTGCCAAATAGTGCACTACCTCCTTTGCTGCTTTCCAGTCCGACCTGCTAGGATTCGACATGTGCCGCGCTAAAACTCCCACGGCTTGTGTGATGTCAGGACGAGTACATCCAGACACGTACAACAAGCTGCCAATTAACTGGCTATACGGGAAACACTCTCGATCCAGCCGATCTTCCACTGCAGCATTAGGTAAAACGGTTCCAGTACTCATAGGTACAGACTTCGGCCATGCATTAGCCATGCCATAAAGACCCACAATGTCCTTGACCATACACCCCTGGGACACGGTAATCACCCTATCCACTCGATCGTGCTTAAGGGAAAGACCCAAAAATAAACTTGCTTCCCCCAAATCACGACACTCAAACCGCCGCATGATAGCCGCCTTCTCTTCTGAAACAGCTCTCTCACTCCAAGCTGCAATCAAAACGTCGTCTACATAAACCAAAAGGTATACAATCTCGCCTTGTTTACGGCGCACAAAAAAACTAGGGTCCGCACAAAGCCCATAGATACTAATTCTTCACACAACATGTCATACCACGCGCAAGATGCTTGACGAAGGCCATACAAGGCCTTATGGAGAAGACAAACCATGCCCGGGCCTCCCTCCTCAAAACCGGGCGGTTGATTAACATATATCTCTTCCTCCAAATCGCCATTCAAAAACGCCGTCTTAACATCGAACTGGTGTAATTCCATATCGGCACCAGCCACCATAGACAAAAAAGTACGCAAGGTGGTATGGCGACTCACCGGCACAAAGACCTCCTGGAAATCCACACCCTCACATTGCATAAAACCTTTCACTACTAGGCGTGCCTTGAAGCGCTCAATGGCCCCATGCTTGTCACGCTTCAGCGAGAATACCCACTTGACATCAAGAGACCTGCTGTCCTTAAGCTTCGGACACTTCGTGACCAAATGGCCCTGCTCCTTGCAGTAGAAACACTTTCGGTTGTCCTTCCTCTTATGTGGCGCCTGCCATGCGACGTTGTAAGCTCCTTTTATGGGCGACTTCTTGGTTTCCGTCTCTACCTTCTGTTCCTCGACGAGTAGTCGCATCTCCAGCTTCTCTACGTCGTCTACATCGGTTGCATTTTCTATCACCGTGCGGATCATCGCATACGCGTCAGGCAGACCTCTCAAGACGTGGCCCACTGCCTCGTCATCCGCCAAGCTAAGATCGATTGCCGCAAACTCAAGTCGAAGCACTTGAAACCTGGCGATATAGTCGCTGACGGTCTCGTTCGCTTCCATTTTGAAGACCGTTGCACTAGCAGGCTCTTCGCAGCCCGCGTCTGTTGGCCATACTTCGCCGCCAAGGCAAGCCACAGGTCGTACGCCTTTGCGTGACGCGCGTACAGAGGCTTCTCCAGGACGCGGATGAATTCCTTAATGACGCCCAAAGCCCGTTGATCCTGCTCGTCAGTTACTAATCCCTTATGTTGAAGGACGCTGATGACGTGCTCCTTCAAGAGGTGAAAGGTGCTAGTAG